TGGAGCTTAGCCGCTCATTTTGTCGTCATTTGCTGTGGGCGACCTTGAGAGAGAGCTAACACCTTTACGCATCTCACCAGGAACACTTGGTAAGCTGTTCAACTTGAGAATTTATCTGCGTCACAATAAATGAGTCAAGTACACGATTTGGAGGAAGTGTCTGGTGGTCTAAATCGTTTGGTCGAACAACGATTGAATCGCTTTCAAGCCTCTGAACGGCATATAGCCGAAACGTCGAGCAGTAAATAAAGTGTTCCTTCAAAAAATGTTACGGCTTAAACACAACTGAACGATATCTACAAAACTCGCCAAGGTTTTACAAAAAAAAAGACACACAAAGCAGATCAGTTTTTCATCAAAAATAAGTGATTTGTTCTATTGAGTTGTCCGGAAATTAATGTCCGTTTTGAATTTCCACCGCAATAAGTCATACACTTCCCATTTCTAGATAGCATGCAAAGTACCATTCGATAGGGCAAAGCATCCTCTACAGAACGGCAATCTTATTTTAGTAATAGCTCTGATCCATCTCGAGTTTCAAGCCAAAAACTAAAAAGATTTGCTCGAAAAATCGAGAAAAATCGTAAGTCTCTTCCCAAAAATTCCTACAAAATTTCTAACTTGCCCGCGTAAATACTGTCTACACAAGACATCTATACACGCCGTTGCCGTATTTTTTCCTCTGTTAGAAATCAAGAAAATGCAAATTTTCGTGCATTTGCCAAAGTGATGCTGTGCTGCCCCCACTAGATAGTTGTACACTACAAACCTGTGGAAGTACAAACGTAAATTTTCAGCTCTGTGCAAGCTTTAGTTCTCGAGAAATATCGAGTTTAGCTTTTCCAAGTCAAGGGGTCCAAATCGAGATTCAGATTTCTCGAGAACTATAGCTTATAGAGAGCTGGAAATTTACATTTGTACTTCCACAAGTTTGTAGTATACAACTACCTATGTGGGGATAGCACATAGGTAGTTGTATACTAGCATTACTTTGGCCAATGCATGAGAATTAGCATTTTCTTGATTTCTAACAGAGGAAAAAATACGGCAACGGCGTATATAGATGTCTTATGCAGACAGTGTTTACGTGGGCAAGTTAGAATTTTTGTTGGATTTTTATTAACAGAGTTACGATTTTTCTCGATTTTTTGGGCAGTTGAATCTTTTTAGTTTTTGGCTTGAAACTCGAGATGGATTAGAGCTGTTGCTAAATCAAGACTGCTCTCTTCTAGAGTATGCTTTGCTCTATCGAATGGTACTTTGCATACTATCTATCAATGAGAAGTATATGACTTATTGCGGTTGAAATTCAAAACGGACAACAATTTCCGGAAAACTTAATAAATAACATGACCAGCTCTTCTCGACGATATGCGCATCTTGTTGCAAATCAACTAATTTTCAAAGAAATGAGGACGAGAATGAAAACTCTACGAACTTATGAAACAACCTAATCCATTACTTTTTACCCCTTCTATCAATCTTCTTGCTTGACTTCTGCAAAAAATTTCTCAAAGTGTATCATTTGCCTTCATTTTTCTGGATTCCGAACAGTCGTGCTACCTGTGTGAAATAGCTTGTGACAAGCTGGATTTTCCATTGTTGCTATGTTGACAAATTTTCAAATGTATTTCTGTCATTTTTGTCCATTAGTTTTGATGAACTGCTTGACAGCTTTTCAGCATCGCGAAACTTAATTTCTAATCGCCATTCTCGTCATTCTCTTCCTCGTATGGCATAGAGTCTGCTTCAATCGGGATCAGGCCGAACCGTCGGCATAAATTTGCGTGCTCGCAGCGCTAGCAGTCTGTGCTGCATATGCGCGTGTTGGAGAGAGGAAAAGGATTGATGAGAGAGCAGAGAAGCAGGTCGTGGGCGTGAGCGCGAAACCTGGCGACGCGGACTCCCGCCATGCCAATTTTGGCCTGGTTGAGATTGGGGCAGACTGTATTTTCGTGCCTGTGGTTATTCCTAAGCCTGCTCACATATCGCCATTCTCTGGAAGATACAAGCGCAAGTGCAAAATTCTTTATTTTTTGGACAGTGATGTGCGCTAATAACTTTGAGTCTCTTTTTCAAATCGCTAATCAATCATAGACAGAATCTCTTCTCTGAGTAACTTCCACACACTATTTTTCTTGTTTCTTTCCTTGACGCTCTACCCGTTTTTTCCATAGATTTTATAGCTTTTGAGACTTAAGTATGTATATCTTCTTGTCATTGTCACACAGGCATTGTAAAGTTCAAATGTTTCTGCAACAGGAAAACGACATCCATTTCGATTCAATTGACATGCGAAGAGCAGTGCTTCTAAAAAAATGGTTTTGTGTTCTTGGTACAAAAATGCTCTGCTTGTAAAGCATGATATATATGCTCTCCGGGTGCAGTCGGCAGTCAGCAGATTGAGAAATTATTCACAATTTCCGAACAAAACTTACACCAATGTAAGATATGCATTCTTGTTGTCACTGTCTCTTGTTGTCTCAATCGCTTTAGATTTTCGTACAAGTCTTCGTGTACTCAATTTGCAGCGTTACCTCAAAAACACAGCAGGTGATTGCCTCAAGGCAAAAGCTAATGAGTTTGTGTGTTCTTGGACGATGGCTGCTATTCCTGCGCTGCAGTCCTGACTTACGACACGCATGGCTAACATGTTAGAAACATCCACACACGTTGTCATTGTGCAACAGCTTGACTGGGCCAAACTTTTTGCCAACATGTTATTGCATGTGCTAACATGTCAGCCACGCGTGCTGCAGGTCGGAGACACAGAACAGGGGTGGCAGCAATTATGGAGATGAGATAAGTGGTGCAATGAACTTGCGTCCATTCAACAATTTGGTTTTTTTTTGCGTTATGATTTGAGTTGCCAGAATATTACTGCTTTGAAATGCTGTATAGTGTGAAATATGCATACTTAGGCCCGTATGCATGTACGTCCCCGCTGGAGAGGGGAGGGGGATCTAAGAGGAGATGCGTCATACGCTACTCTAGGTATCCTTCTTCTTCCTTCTTTATTTTGCTTATGAAGGTTTTCATACCTTCATGCCTGCGCAAAATGGACACCAGGTTACTGCCATACAAAATTGTTTTTTGCCATTTTCCCTGGGAATCCCAAGAGGATCACCTCTTGTTTTCAAAGTCATTTATCCCTCTGAAAAACCAATGAAAACGCTGCAAAATCATACTGAGGATATACTACGGCACTGCTAAATATGTTTATAGTAGAAATGAGTAAAATCTTAGGATATCGAAATCTTCGATGAACCACTGCTCGCCAATTAGGGAATATCGAAAAATTCGCAGTTCTAAGATACCATTTCTTTTGTCGAAAACGTGCTTAGCAGTGCCGTACTTAATACTCAGTGCAATTGTGCATTTTCATTGACTTCTTAGGAAAATAAATGACTTTGAAAATGAGAGGTTATCCCCTGGGGATCACACAAAGTGGCAAGAAATCAGCTTTGTATGACAGTAACCTGGCATCCATTTGCGCAGGTATAAGTGTATGAGAACCTTCAAACAAGATGAAGAAAGAAGAGAGATATTTAGAGTATAGCTATGACGCACATCCCCTCCCCTTTCCAACGGGGATGTATGTGCATACCGGCCTAAAAAGTTTGGATAACCAGCATAACTCTGAGACTACGATCGGCCCACCAAAGCCGGCCGATTTCTGTGTTACTCATGCATGTCGAATCTATGACTCTTGGTCAGCCTCGGTAAAGCTGGCAACAATGTTTTTCTCTTCCTTGCATAGCTTCATTCCGGACAATCGCACTAATCATGCAGTTGAGCATGTTTTTTTAGTATTACTGTACAGCAACGAGTTCGATTCACAGTAACCAAACGGCTTTAAATTGCTTTACACAACTCGAATAATCTCAAATGTTGATAAAGGCTTGCTTTCGCCTTGCATGGTGCTCTTTACGAAACGCTACGATATTCGCAACAATAGTAGATTTGAAGAAATGATCAAAAAAAGCCTCGCAGATTGAGAGAATGATAAAAAGGCCTTACCAGCGAAAAATTAATGTTGTGGGGGAAACCGCGCATGCCATTTGATTTGATTCACTATTGCGTAACGTCAAACAATACCTAAATACGCCGCATCCTGCTGTAGCAGGCAATCAGTTAATTTGACACCCCTTACCAGAAAATACCTCAGTTTTCAAAGTAGACACCACAGAGGCCAAAAGGAACGTTCATGAAAAGTGGGCAAATGTTTTGGTAACTACAAACAAGAAAGATGAGGAGAAATTGAATTGTGAATACACAACCAAGATATCGCGGCTATAAATTTGAATCGAAACTGTAGAACCAGCAGTGAGGGATGTTTGACCTTCAAAATGCGTGAATGGCCGTAGCATCGAGAATAAAGATGAGTTTTCTTACCACTATAGCAGTTTTTGAACGTTTCAAACTACCTGGTTTATGTAGACAATTTATAGGGGCCTGCAGGATCGCAAGAGTCGTTCGGTTCAAGGTCAAATCACTACACTGTCCAACGGCAAAGGCGTGGTGAACCGAGTGGACCTGTTCAACAGGATAAGTCTGGCACCTACCTGAGTCGTCGGACGCACATCTGACGTGCGCGGCGGCGCAACGGCCGTACGCGCGTCTAACTCTCCCGATCCTGCAGGCCCCTTTAGCTGTATCGAACTAGATTTGAAGCCCCATTTGATTCATGTTCTGTGAACTTGTCGAGTGTAGAGATCAAAAATGTTATGGCGCGAAATCATCAAACTCGCACGACAGTCTGTTGCACCTCTTTTCAAAAGTCTTTTTGTGATGACTAAGTGCTATAAAATAAAGAAACGTCTTACAAAATTTAAGAGTTTTTTCAATTCGCTTTCCTTCTTCTTTGACTCTAAACAGTTCCCGCTCGACACGCACTTCTCTCTCAGCTTTCTTTGAACACATTTTGCTTCTTCTAACTGCCTGTAATTCTAGCTTCTAACTGCCTAAGCCTTTCCCCAGAAAATCATGAAAGCAGCGCTATGATTGTAAAGTTGAGCCAGAGGATTGAACTAGTAACAACTTCAGAGGATTACTGGAATCTCACGACATCCATTTTACTCTGCGCCGGTTTTGGAACACGGGCAAGATCGGTCACGCTAAGAAGGGAGATCGGCGACTGCCCTCACAAAGATGTCAAGCGGGTTCGAAAGAAAATCCGATTAAATATTAAGAGAGACATCAGAAAAAATTCGAAAGCTCAACACCAGCCGAAGTTTGTCCAAAGAATCGCCGAACATCGTCTGGAACTTCGCAATTTGAAGATGCAGAAGAACCGTGCCTTGACTGAGCAAAAGTGACTGAGTCCGGCAAATTTGAAATTTTTGGCATTTCTTCGAAAATCTTAACTTTTTTATAAAGTCGTTAAATCAGCACAAGCTTTGCTTAGTTAGAAAGGACTGATAGTAAAAGCTATAATATGTTTTGTTTTCTCCTCTGTTTCTATTGCAAGCTTCAGATTTTGTAAGACCGAAGGAAAATTGAAACATTAGTAATTTTGTTTGCTCAACAGCAAACCGGAATACTTTTATGAAGAGCATGTTTGCTCTTCCCAACCAGCAAAGGAGCAAAGGTTGTAAACTTAGAAGTTATGAATTTTTGTGTGACGACAGAACTTTCGTTCCAACCTGATAGAACGTTTCTGGATGACGCTTGATGCAAGTAAGATCATTTTTGCTGCAAAAATCTCCATTCTAACGAATCGTCCAAATTCCTTTAGCTTCCTTTTTAAATTATATTCAAACTCGTTCTCGCGCGGTCTGATCTTATATTTAAAGAATTTTATAGTACCAGTATGCATACTAATTAAATTGTAAAAATCAACTGGAGGGCCGTCACGTACAAACATTTCATAATTTATCGGTTTAAACATTCTTTACATCTCATCTTTCTAGGAACTCACATGCAAATTTTGTAATAGTAAAAAGTTGAATCCAGAGAGATGGGTCGTTGTAGGGGCGGGGTATATTTCCGGTGCAGGTAGTCTGGTTTATCGTCATACTGGACATCGCATGGATTATTTCAATTTTTAGATGTCTAGAATGCAAGAAGAGACCGACAGTTATGAGAAGAAAGCTTACTGCTGAGGAAGTGGCAAGACGAAAAGAGAAGAGAGATGCTTTCGCTTGTAAAATGAAATTTTGAACCCAAATGAAGGAGTGAAGAAGTTGAGATGATTAATGAACCATATCATAAATACACTTTTTGGGTCATCCGAGCATTGGCATAAAGTATTTACTGTAATAACTGCTGGCAATTCATTACTTTTGATAATTTGGTCTGGAAATGTTGAATGTTTGCGGGAGCGAGGAGGTACGGTACCCCTTAGATACCGTTTCAAGAAATTTGCTCTGAGGTACGGTACCCCTTAGATACCGTTTCAAGAAATTTGCTCTATCTGCGTTGCAGGTAGTCTGGTTGCCATCATACTGGACATTGCATGAATTATTTCAATTTTTAGGTGGAATTGTATTAATCGGACCCCGTAGCAAAAAGAAAATCAATCGCAGAAGAGCTGGAAAAGAGACGAAATTCAAAGGAGTAAGATCTATCATTTCATAGCTTAGTAAACGTCTAAATCGTCTTGAGCCTTCCATGTAAGACAATGACATGTCACTGTTGAATTTGAAACTGAGCTAATCGCTTTCTCCAAAATGACGAGATGCTCCAAATGCAGCACTTCCTTACCGAGTGAACTCTAAATCTACGAAGAATGCGAGCGGAAGTTGGTCCAAAGTACGTCCGACTGTTGTTATTGAAGTTGGCGCCATCACTCCGTTTGTACTGCACGTGGACGTTGCGGAAGCCCCCTCTCTTGGTTGCGAAAAGCCATCAGTCTGAAAGAAATTCAAATTTGCTGGGCTGTACAAACTGATAATACCAATGGGGAATAACCTGAACGTTTAGAAGTGGCTTTTATTCAACTTATATAATCATACCGACTATTTTCAGACGATAGCCAAAGAAATCCCTACACCCTCCATGCCATCCATGCTGCTTGGGAATTGGGATCTTTCTTCAAGACGCATGTATCGATGCCCCCATCACCCATGGAGACTTTGGTTCACACGCAAAGACGGCTTATATACTAGCAAATTGCAATCTCGTAAATCTTTTGAGAAAGACGTTTTACAAACCTCAGTTTTAGACTGGTCCCTGGTCTTCACATGAAAAGCAGACCACATTCGACAGCGATGATGATGAGCAGGATTTGGCACCTCTCAGAGAGGCAGAACCCGCTTTGTTGGACAAGTACTACCTCGTCCAAGGTAAGAAGTCGCTGGAATTCTCTGTCTGAATTGATGTGGTGTGAGAAAGCATAAGAGGAGTCTGCTTCACAAACTCAGGATCTGCATCCATCATCACCCTTAATGGATGGCAAGAAGAAACGCTGGGAAAGACAGAACAAGCTAAGTCAGCATCGGAATAACACGCTCGTCACCGGAGATGCACTAGCGTGTTCCCGCGCCGTCACAACAGCCGTGCGAATGAATGTGATAGCACAATCACTTTTCGTTATAATAGGCTCTTCATGATTAATGCTGATTCTTCTTCAAGACATCTAAAAGCCGATTTTTTCTGGTTTCTAATACATACTTTCGTTTTTGCAAAAAATTTATGTTCTCTTCAGAAACAAGTGACTAAAACGCGAAATTCTTTCCTCTCACTGTGCTTGCTCAAAATCCATGAAAAATAATTGAATTTTCTTAAAAATACACGGACGACGATTGTAAAGTTGTATGCTACACAAGCTCACCAACATCAGATTCTAAAAAATTCTGAGCCGAGAAATCCTGGCTCAAACTTGGTCAGCCGCATACTCTCAGTCGAAAAGCGATTGTACAACTTTCGTTATGTACACCTAGAGTGAACCTAGTACAATTAATGACAGAAAAAAATCAGCATTTTCTTAGACGTTTTTTAGAGGAGAAAAAAAAATGAAAAAAAGCCCAAAAGGCGGTTTTCAAAATGCTTAAAAAAGTGGGTTCTTTCAATTTTTTTTCAAAATTTTTTCATAGAAAAACGTCATAAAATCCAAGCTTCACTCATTGCACAACCGACCGTCGGCTATGTAATGAGCAAGTTCGCGCGATTCTAGTACATTTAAAGGCAGTGTTCAGGCAAAACCTCGATTTTGAGATTTTGTGCTTATCCGAGCCTATTCGCCATGCTGAATCGGAAGGATTTTCCGTTTCCATACTGGAAAGCGCGAAAATGGCAAAGAAGGGCTCTAACACAGGCGAGTAATCAGCAGGTGGGCGAGGTCCTCTCCACTGTGAGTTCACGCTCCCAGCTTCCGGAGCGATCTTCTCGCCTCCGATTTCAAGTCAATTCGCACTTGGCCGGTAGTGATGTTAGGACGGCTAACGGAATTGAAAAGACCGCTCCGAAAGCTGTGAGCGTAAATTCACAGCGGGAGGACCCCGCCCAATTGCTGTTTCTCTCTGCGCTAGAGCCCTTCTTTGCCATTTTCGCGCTTTCCAGTGTGGATTTTCGGACTCAGCATGGAGAATAGGCCCGTATAAGCACAAAATCTCAAAATCGAGTTTTTGCCCGGACATTGCCTTTAAGAGCAAGTTAAGCTCTCCCAAATTATAGGTTTCTAGAAAATTGTTTTGAAATTTTTTAGGCTAGATAATCTCTCCCAGAGTGGCTACGATCCACAGAAGCTAACTTTATTTAGCCAAAGGTTTGCTATTTGCACCAGTTTTTATTGCGTTCAACTATATGGTTTTGAAAAAAAAATTATCGTGTTTAGAATTTGAAATTCAAAAACCTGCACTCATTATGAGATAACCTATGGCTTCCGTGCTCCGTCCGGTCTTGTCAAAACACTACGACAAAGGTCATCGGAGAAGAAGTGGGCAAGAAGTGGGCATAGGGTTCGATACCTTACCCTATGCCCACTTCTACATGCCAGCTCCCTGTTCTCATTTCCGTTTCGTAATCAGCAGGCTCATTTATTCCCCTCATGTAGCATTTCCCAGCCCCGTGCATCAAACTTCGTGAAAAAAAAACGACAAAATCGATAAAGGCAATGGGTATCAGGAAGAAATATTGTATTCCCAATAAGCATGCTCCTCACCCCTCTGTGTCAATACCAGCGCCTTAAAAACTTCGCAAAAAAATCGATACAATCGATAAAAACGCAATGAATGATTCTAAAACTAACATTGTCTTCGTAATCAGCATGCTCGATTACACCCTGTGCCAACTTCCAGCCTCGTAGCTCATTTGCAAGAAAATCGATAAAATCGTTGAAAGTAATGGATAATTTCATGAACTGATATTGTATTCATAATCAGCATGCTCGACTACCCCCCTATGCCACTCCAGTCCTGTAGGTCAAACTTTACAAAGAAATCGATAAAAATTGATAAAATCGATATCGATCGATAACGAAGAAGAACCCACCCACCCCCCCCCCCGAAGTGTATGTGTGCCAAATTTGGTCCGGATGGGTTCAGGAATGCAATTTTCTACTTGGGACATACGTTCAGACATACAGACATACAGAGAGACATTCAGCTTTATATATAAGACTGGCAACCCTACGGGTCGCTGGCAAGCGGATTGGGGCAAACCATAACTAGATGCTGTGTCACTATAACTCTCTCATATGCATCTCCAATATATTAGTATATGTATTGCCGCAACCACTCAATAAGATTTTCAGAGATTTTCTCAAGATTTAGGCGGCGAGTGGAATATATCGTTCTAAAATAGTGTTTCGCTCCAACGATTGCTGTACAATTTCCTTTCCAATGTCATTCTCGCGTCACGCTCACATTTTGGTGAGGAAAATTAAATTCAAGCAGCACAATTTCTCCCAAAAGCGACTCGGAGATTCTCAAAATTTGGGCGAAAAGTGGAATTTAGTTACAAAAATAGCTCAGCTGACATGAATGAGAAGAGCTAGAAAACGAAAGAGAGCATGATGATTACAGAGAAGAGATGTGCGCGGATCAGTAAATGGTATACTTTCATACCTAATTTTCGCAACGATCACCATCTCGCATATTTCAACACACTTGACACGCGCTTGCGTATTTCAACACAACTATTGCAGCAGCAGAGCGCACCGTGCGTGTCGTGATCTCCGTTTGAATACTGTTCTGTGGCTGGTGTCTATTCAAAACAAACATTCATGCCAACATGTGGGCGACCCAATCTAGCCGTCGGGTTTTTTGGGACCATGTTTACAGTCGAATTACTTCATATGATCATGTGTGTCATTGCACACACAGTCCACCTTTGGCGTTCCCATCCTGGATTCTTGAAGGAAACAACCCTTCTATGTGTTATGATATTTTCTTTCTTTTTCAGGCACTATTCACCTCAGATTGATGTAATCGATAACAATCGGTAAGTCTCTGGTGTTTTTGCGATTGCAAGTCCAGGATGACGCCAAAGATGGATTGTGTGTGCAATGACACACATGATCATATGAAATGATTCGACTGTATATCATAGGAGAGGATCACTCAAAAAGATGTTGCAGAGATTGAGGCAATGGGCATCAGAGGTAGGATTAGCGCCGCCGTCTCACACGACATACCGAATTTCTAAACCGTGAGACCCTCTATCAATGAGGTTTACGAGAGCCATTAAAAACGGACGATCCAGTAAATCAGAGTCGCTTATGAGCAGCGAAATTACTTCAGATCGGAGAACAATCCCTGCCATGGAACATCGCCGTGGACTATGCATTTGATTCGAGGGTATTTAGCGCAGAGCTGTGCAAAGTCTTAGCGATGGGTGCAAAGACGAAGCTTTGCCTTCATATGGAGGTGTTGAAACGCTCTGAAATCGGTAACAAAAAATGTAGTGGCATTACTTCAACACTTAGTGGGAACATGGGGAAGGAGGGATCTATCAGGATATTGCGTTGGCTGAGAGCGAAAGACGTACCAATTCGTCCCATCTCCACTGATCGCAGTTATATGTATGTATCTGAAATAAACGCCTACATTGGAGAATTTGGAGAGCAAGTGGAGTGCCGTAACCTCTGACATCTTGCACGCTAGCTTGATAAAAATCTCCGTGTGGTAAGATTTTCCGATAGGTTTGGTTTTGATTCAATTTGGACATTTAGGTGGCTAGCGTAGGGATTATGAGCTGATAAGAGACTGGATATCTAATATCATAACGCATCTACAACACGGTAGAAAGGGGTGGCCACAATGGCGAAACCATAAAACAGTTCTTTGATGGCTGTCTCTATCACGTCTCCCGTTCACGAGTGGAAAAAGTATAATCTTTACTAAAAAGGGGAGGAGAAGATGCACTTCAGGGTGGGGACGTCGACACGGACTAATAACACGATGCAGACACGAGCGGCTGCCAAACACTGAAAGAGGAAAGCCCACGCCGGAAGCCCGACCCACGATAAGCTCAAGGAGATTACTCTTCAGAATACACTCCAAAAAGATCTCACACCCGCTAGTCCTTTGGAGACACTAGCGAGTGTGAGAGTAGGCACTCTTTGGATCGATTATATTGTAATGAGTATATCTGTGGGTCGATATCCACAATTTCATACTGCTGAATTAGTATATATGTTATAACCGAACTTTTAGGCCACCCTCTACCTATGGTTCGTATGCCAAAATGTCACCTTTACATCGCAACGCCCTCCGAAACGCGGAATTGCGCGGGAGAGGACTGTCGAACGCTACAATGCCATCAAGCATAAATACAGAGAAAGAACGAGCGTCCAGCGCATCAAAACACCCGTATAGCACCTATGGCGGAGTGAGATATTTGTAAATTCTGTCACACATCGCCATCCACCCACCCCTGGAATCCGATACAGAAGAGATGGACACCACGTAACAATTTAGGAGCTGCAGCTGTCCTGTTATTAAGAGGGCTAAGATCAGGGCCTGGCACGAGTCGGTCTCTAGGGTTTGTGAAAACGAGGTCTCCCCTGACTTTCGGAAGTTTTACGAAGTCCCCTTTGACCGAAAATTTGGACTGGCTAGTGATGGATGCATGTTTACTGACAGGATCGTACCATATCTCCTTTCACTAAGAAAATAATAACAAATGAAAGAGCAGTTAGATCACTCGTTTCTCAGGTTTTCTGATCTTATATAAAAGTTCGAAAAAGACCTTCTGAGTTTGAGAAGATGATTACCCAGAATTGGCTGTTATTGTCTAGATAAAACTGCCCGTATCTCGCTTCACAGAAAAGCTAGGAAAAAAGAGATGGTCTAAGTCGACTTCTCGCGTTCTTAGCTATCAAATGGTATACAAGTGTTGGTGCACAAAGCATTCCCAGTCCAAAAAAGTCTTGCTCCGGCGACCCATAGTAAGCAAGAGCAGGGTGGAGCCAGTTAATATCAAATGTCTCCACCTCATTTTCTGAAAAGCCACGATTTTTTTTCACACAAAACTTATACTCTAGCTTCATCTACTTAGAGATAT